TAGGTTATCATTAAGCTACATAGATATAGAAATATATGGCTTGTAGAAGATGATTGATGTAACTGCTGTAGGATTTAATTATCTGTCAAATTAAGTTAATTCTTTAATAAAGCTTGCATCTAATACCAGTTGTGGTTAAAAGAAAAAAAAAAAAACAAAAATAGTTTCAGAGGTCAGCTTTATTAATATTATTTTATCTAAAAATCTGTTTAGATGATTACTTATTCAAAAATTAGATAGGGCCTATGGCTAGAAGGGTACCTTAAAACCTGTAAAGGGATTAATAATTCAATCCTAAAGATAATATTAGCTTCAAGAATAAGTTACTTATTTAAAAATATGCAACCTTTTCAAAGTTAGGTTAAGTTTTTAGAAAATTTTTCAATCTGGCAATAGTTTTCAACAAGTATTTTCACTATAAGTAATATTGGTGCAGAATGAAAAGGAAATAGAGCCACCAAATTTAAAAATAACAAGGTCATACATGAGATCTAATAAGAGAGAGAATGAATAACCATATGTGGGATATATATTTCAAAGATTGTTAAAAAAAAAGCTTTCTAATCAAGCTAACAAATGACGAGCTATTAATACTGAATAAGTTGATGATAAGAAGGCCAGATCTATACAAGCAAGTGAAATGTATTGCATATGATCTTCAGGAGGAAAAAACAATTAATTACTTGTTAGAATGTCCAATGTATAAGAAATAGATAAAAAAGATATGGAATAAAGGTCTCGAAGGAGTTTTAACAAATTTTAGAAAACTTTCACAGAAAAGGAAAAAAGAAACAGAAGAAAAGAATACTAGATTAATAATGGATGATAGTGAAGAAATAAATGAAGTACACAAATGAATATTCAGGTTAGTAGAACAGTTCTTAGCAAATAGTCAGAATATACTAAGTTTTTTTGCAGAATTAATAAGAAACAAATTCATTCTTGAGATGGTAGACCTTAAATACCATGGTAAAAGAATTGAAAAAGAAGCAAGAAGATAGATCAAGAAGCTACAAAGTATGACTTGTAACCAGTTCCAGAAAAAAGGTTGAAATGCAAGATGTGATAGAATGATAGAATGGGAAAGATTCAAGGAATTCAAAAGAAGAATAAGATAAAAAGATCCCTAATCTTTCAGATGCCAAAACCATATGACTAAAAAGGAAAATTTCAATATTAGAGAAAGGTAAATTAGAAGATAAAGATCTAAAAGACATCTTATCAAGAGGGGTTAGATTTGAAATAAGATAGATGGATTTTGAGTAATGTTAGAACTTAAAGAGTGATCTGCAATAGTGACTTGCAGGCAATAATATTAAGAGTTGAAAGGGTTTTCACTTGAACTCCTAATGGAGTGATAAATTACTTTCAAAGTTGTACTTAGAGTAATAATTACAAAAACAAGTGAGCTAGTTCACCTTTTTTAGCTTTAGTGATTCATATTATATGTACAGTTTACAAATGTTTAATAAAGTACACATAACTAGCTTGACAAAGGGTTAAAAAAAAAAAACTATTTTTTTATCTCCTTTGTAATTTTTTGTATTCCAATAATTTGAAAGATATATAATAATAACAATCTAATAATAATAATATATAAAATAAAAAAATTTTTTATTCAAAATCCATTATAGAACAAAATATTATTTTCAAGATCAAATTTAATACCATTGTTATCTATAATGAGTTAGTTAGATTTGAATAAAAAAGTTTAATTATAGTATGCATTGTGCTATCAAATGAAATATACTTATGCATTTATTTGATTATTAAACTAAAAATTTAATCTAACTACAAGTTGATTATCATATAAAAATTAATATAATATTAAAGATGTTCTGTTTATATTTCAATAAAAACATTTCATGCTGACATAATTGTGGATTAAATAATATCTTCTTAAAAAAAAAAAAACTTCCATTAATATAATAATTGCTATAATAAAAATTTTAATGTTAAAAATTATATAAAATATATTTAAAAAGTTGTTATATACTGTATTTCCTATGAATATAACTTTATTTACTTTAATACTCGTTTTTGATAACATTTATAATACATACTGTATATTATACATGACAGTTTAACATTATGCTGACATACTACATATAATTGTCATAAGCGGCAAAAACACCTGAATTCCATATTTCTCACAATTGGAATATTCATTATGTCATCAGCCGCTTTCCAATGCAACAGCACCCGAAGTTCTTACATAAAAGGGTCCTTCGCGCAGATATTGTCTCAAACGTTCTAGAGTTTTGGGCGCGATAAGATTCTCGGCATCAGGTGTTGAGCATAATGTTTGAATTATAGAAAACTTCCACTCTTTTCCTCTATGGGAGAACTCTGTTGTACGATTGACTATATAATCGATAAACTCTTTGGAATTCGACATCTCAATCTTACCCCATGGATGTATTGCTATCTTTTGCATAGTGGCAAAACATGTTGTTCGCAGTTCTTCAAGAGATGTCTTTGCATTGGTGATTAAGGTAGAAAGAGGAGTCGGGTTTCCTATGCGGCAAAATTTTTGTTATATAAGGCAACTAATTAAAGAACGCAAGATTTTTGGTAATAATCATACCTCCCATTTTGCGATATATCTGTTCAGAAATATTGGACATTTCCTGTGTTGGAAAATCGCTAGACAAAAAAAAAGCGTTATTTACCATCTTGATACTTTACATCAAACTTGTAAAATAAGAAAAAATCTTTTACCTTGCACCAATTAAGCACGAAATAGTTTGTAAGCATGCCAATTTCACTTCGCCACTAGAACTGTTGTAGAGGCCCATAAAATCATCAAGTAAATTGGGGGAGACACAATTATACAGGAGAGCAAGGCCGCGGGGATTATGGCCTATCACACCAATAATGTTGATTGAGGTTATCTTTTATTTTTTACAAAAAAGTTACAATATTAAATAGATTATTCATCAAAAAGGATGCTCAAATTCCTAGTAAACTAACCTTAAGGTCAGGGTGATCGCTCAAGAAATATGCGTCGATGTGGGAGAAGAGTCTGTATCTATTTTCCACTTCGGAAAAGTCTACCGTCTACTTACAAATGAGTTAAATCGTTTCCCGTTAATGAAAAATGTTAAAACAAGAGCCGAAAACATAAAGAATTATACCTCAATCTCAGATAATTTTCCGAAAAACTTCAACACCGCGCATTTTATCAAAACAATCACAACGTCTTCTTCATCTTGTGACAAAGAGTCGACCAGCATCTTTATAACTCCGGACCTTTCCAGAAAGGAATATCCTGATTGACTTTGAATAATCTAGGCAATACATCAAGTAATAGCAATAATAATAAATTTTTCTGTCGAGGCATCAAATTTGTTAAAAGACCTTATTGAACCTTGGAAAAAGTCTCTACAGCATTCAGCCTAATTAACAGATCATCGGAATTTAACTCGGAAGTTATTGAGTTTAAAGCACCAGACGATTCGCATAATTGAAACGCCTCTGGAGAGGATGTCGATATTCGAACAATCAGATCAAAGACGCGAAACTTTACGGTTTCATCACTAAATTATCGGAAGTATTGTGAGAATTTTGCGAATTTCTGATTGTATTGATGTGGCCAATTAAGATTTACCCCAGTGAAAGTTTAGTTAGAATGGAGGTGAATTCTGATTCAAATAAAGTTTTCAATCCATAATTACTAGTACTGACAAGCTTAAAAATTTATATTAATTATAGTCTTATTAATGACATATCCATAGTTAACGGTGAATACCTTGACAATAAAATCAGAAACTCGAACAGATGTGGGGATGTCATTAAATCCCAAGCACTCCAGAACAGCCGAAAAAAGTGGTGATTTGACCTATATACATAAATAATTAATTCTTAGTCTGATCAATAGATTGAAGTCTGAATATATAATATTAACATGAATGCATACGAGATCATGTATAGATTCTTCTGACTCCAGACATTTTTCGATCTGGCACAGTGCGAGAATTCGGACCTCGGGATAATCATGTTTCAATCCAATTGTTAAGTATTCCTACATGAAAGACTTTTTAATAAGTAAACGGGAACATATTAATTAGATATTTTTTAATTCATACCTTTAGTCCTAAAGAACTTATACTCTCATAACTCATAGATTGTAATAATTTTTCAAGAACTTTGCAAGTTGAGGATGTCACCATATTATTAACGTTTTCCAAAAGCGTAAAAAACGCAGAAAGGGGTACGGCAGCGAGAATAGTCTGAATCCTTTGTTCTCTTCTTGGGCCTATGATTTTTTAGTACGATTAAAGGCTTAAAATTTGTTTTTCAAGTATCATAATAATACGCAGTATTAAAACTCACCGTCAAGTGAAACATTCATAATTCCCAAGGCGTTGACTAGATCGGAAAGGTCTACGTTTTCCGGTGTACGTAAAAAATTTTTGACCGTATCAATGTCGGAAGTATTCGTAGACACCATTTTTCCAAGATCTACGATATATTGCTTCTCCGACTCGATAAATTTAATTAAAATAAATTGTCAAATTTTGTGACTATATATAAAAAGTATGTTTATAAGTCGCAAATCGTACTGTCCAATCAAATTTATATAATTAGTGGCTTAGACATAAGCTTAGAAATGATCAATTTTTATTGGTTCCGATACTGATTTTTTTTTTTCAAATTCAGTTGCGCGCAGTAAAATATATTTCTAAAATTTTTACTTGATATAAATAGAAAGGAACTATGATTGAACGTATAAAATTTCATATGAACTTTTTTTATAACGCACCTCTTGACAACAAATCATTCTAGTCGCATTTAAATAATATCGGTCCTTCTTCAACAAATGCCTCCTTCTGACCATAAAGCCACTCACAACAAGGCTTCAAAACGTGCACAACGGCAAACTGCAACGAAACATAGTTATTACGAAGGAGAGTCGTCTGACATTGACCAAACTCAAGAACATGAAAATATGATGCACGATGCAGTTTTAGACGGTAATGACACTCAATTTGGTGCAGAAACGATGAAACCTGAGGAGGAAGAGACTACAAAAGGAAGTAAAGTTGAACGCGAGGAAAACGAAGCCTCAACAGGTATGCATTTTGTTTAACAAATAAGGTCCTTTCTTGTTCCATGTTATTGTTCTTCAAGGATAAAACTTGAACTTTTCTTTTTGACACATTATGCCATATCAGCGAGCACCAGTAATCCAATTGACCACGAAACATTAAAGAGTCGTCAAAGTGTATTGGGACGGCTTAATTATTTAAATTCAGAGTTTAATAAAAAAAAGGACGAGTAAGTTTTTACGTCGTTTACTTCTATTTTTTCTTTATATAAACATGTTCCTTTCACAAACCTTTTAGTCGGTCTTCGATTCGGAGTCTAAACATTAGGCAATTCGATATCCTACAATAGCGGTTAACTCATCCTGAGCCAACCACTCTTATCACGAAATGCAAACGTGTTTTGGAAAACATAAAGGTTTATACTCTATGAACTTTATATCTTTTTGTAGGATATACTCGGAAAGATTAAAACACATTGACGAAGAAATAAAAGCAGTTAGAGAAGGTTTGAATGAATGCTACATTATAAAAATGTCAATACAAGGACATTTGCGTAATTGGTGCGCTAACACCACGTGTTATTGTAATAATATTAGGTACGCATCCTGAATTCGAGGAACGTTTACAACAAATTATCGACAAGCGCGATCGAGCAATAGAGTCGCAGGAATTAGCATTGACATATCGACGACAATGCATACAAAAAGAGTTTGAAGCCGAAACACTACGCGTAGATGAATATTACCAAGTATGTTTACTTCATTTAGTTATTGATAATGAGGTTTAATTAAATAATAATATGTATCTGTTCAAAGACACAACGCCAATTGGTGAACGATAGGCTAATAGCAGATATTGAAGAAAAAAAGCGAAAACTCGCTGAAGATTATGAAAGCTTCGACATTAACAATGGTATTTTATGGTCATTGCTATAGTTTGTATGATGGCATTTAACTCATAGTTATTCTTAATAAGATACCGCCATGGAGGGTACTCTGCGCGGCCATCCACAACGAAGATTACGTACTCGAACTACACACGAAGTCGAAGTAAAAGTAAAAAAGGCTAAAGTAACTGATATCCTTTGTCATATTTGACATAATCGCTGTTTACATGATTCCTCCGTTTCAATCTTTATTACCGTACTTAACCTTAATTATAATGCTGTACGACCCGTAGTGTCTTGTAAATTACATGACAGCGAAACTAACGATGACTTAACTGAAATGGGCCTGGTAAATGACATTGATGGGTTATATTTAAGTATACAAACCTATATGTCTGACATCATTATAATATTTCTTAGAGTGGATCTGCGATCCGAAAATCAGCAACACCCTACAACAAAAAGAAATAGGGATTAACTATCGTATACATAAGTTTAACAAAAGGATTCTTGATCAGGATATTAAAAATATTAAGATCTTTCCTTTATTAGGACGGGTAATTTTTACAAAGCCTTTGCAATTAGACTGTTCAATTATTACTTTGGCGATTGGGCGTAATTATTAATAAATTACTATAAAAAGTTTCTATTCTATTCTGAAGTCGTTAAATATATTAATATAGTTGAATTGATTTTTTTTTTTTACTTACCAGAAAAACCAATATTTTTGCCAATATATCATTACTACAGATTCTTTATATACAGTATAGTCAAAATCTAATATTTAAAACTTGTTTTAATTTAATGTTTTTATAAATAAATTAGTTAATTATTAATTAATTTTTTTTTTCAATAATATAATTCTAGTATAGATTAATACCTTTAAAATTTTTTTAAAGAAAATACTAGTTTTAAAATTTTAATTTCTAATTTTATTAATTTGTAATCATTTTTTTTTTATATTATTTTTTTAAAAAAGTTATAACCTATTTAAATATTGAATTTTTGCTTAATATACAATGATCAAATTTATATTTGGTTGTTGTATTCAAGTAGAATTGCTTTTCAAAAGATAATTTTCAAAAAAAAATTTTTAAAAACAATTTGTTTTATACTAAAATAATTAAAAAAAGATTTATCTAAAATTTTTTTAAACAATATTATATAGTATTTTATAAGAAATATAATTTGATTGCAATCTTAGTTTATTAATAAACCAATAAAAAAAAATAATTTCTTAGTTCTAATATTAGAAAATATTATTTAATTTTTCAAATATCAAATAAAGTTATTTTTGTAAATGTATTTTATTTTTGAGTAAATTAATATTATTTATATATAATAACCTATTAAAATATTAAAAACACTTTTTAAATTTTTATTATTCAAAATTGAATAGGCAAATATTATATAAAATTTTTGTTATATATTTAAAATCTTAAGATATTGATTATTAAATTTTTTTTTAATTTTATTATTGTATAAAAATCATAAAAAAGAATAAGAATTTTTTTTTTTTAATTAAAGTTTTTAAATAAAAATTAATAAAAATTTTATATTTTATAATTATTTTTTGTTAAATTGTAAATAAATTTTTGATGAATTGTTAATTTTTTATTGAAATGTTAATAAATTATTTGTAATAAATTCTTGTTGAATTGTTAATAAAATATTAATTAATTATATTTTAAAATATTTTATTTATTATTATTATTATTAATTATTGTCAAATATTTGATTTCTGCTTGATTATTAAAATAGTAATATGTATATTAAGTAGTATTATTTAAAAAATTTTTAATTAAATTCAGAAATAATTTGATTATTCATATAATAATTTTGATTAATATAAAGTATTTTAAAAAATAATCAAAAAAAAAAAAATAAACTCTTTCCCACTTCCCCATACTTCGTGAAAATTTCCTTTTTAAGAAGTTTTCTTCTTTTCCCTTTCCCCTTTCCATCCTCTATACGAGAATATCAACCATGCGGTGAACAAAGTCTGAGTTGTACTAACACCACACGAGGCTCTATTATCTGACTTGTCGATATATAGAAAGTAGTACACTAGTCGAAAAAAAATTATTCAGCATACTGCCACTCGAGTAACATTCAACAAAAAATACTACCACTCATGTAACATTCAGCAAAAAATAAACAATTTAGCAAAAAAAAATGACATAAATAAATTGGCAACTACAAAAATTGTAGTCAAAACTATTCATTAAAAATTCATCAAAAATTCATCAACTATTCATCCACTATTCGTCAACTATTCGTCAACT